TCCCACGACACCGCCCTGAGCTCTCAGATATCACGTGACAAAGAGCCATGGAGCGCGTGCTGCTCTGGGCCAGGCGCAATTGAGGGCACGGTGGCCGCCAGGCTCCTGCACCTGTGGCCAAGACTGAATTTCCCTCTCTGAAAGGTGAGGGCTCTTCACGGGGTCCACGAGCCTCAGGGTGTACACGTGGATGTCTCAGGTAGCACACGTGGGTGCCTCAGGGTGCACACGTGGGTGCCTCAGGGTGCACACGTGGATGACAATTTAGGGTGAATTTTCAGGTGTACGTGGAGATGATATTTCTGAGTGTAGAGGGCTGGTGTTTTAGTGTGTACTTGTTTACAGTTCTTCTCTGTTTACCTGTGTGCTGTATTTATGGTGAACATCTGTGTGTGGTATTTCATGGTGTTTGTGTGTGGTATTTTGTGGTACATGCGGGCTGTATTTCGTGCTGTGTGTGTGTGATATTTCATGGTGTGTGTGTGTGGTATTTCGTGGTGTGTGTAGTGATGGTGTTTCGTGGTGCACAGGAAGCACTTGTTCTTTGCCCAGTCTCTGTCTGGGCACACCTAGGTCGAGTCCTGGCTTTTGCTACTGGGGGCAGTGCTGCCAAGAGCAGGGACAGCGCCTCTCCCTGACCTCTGACCTCGTTTCCTCCGGGTAGGGACCTGGGCCGGGACCAGTTCTAGGCGGATGTTGTAATGGGGTGACTCTCTCTGTGTTTTCCTCAGCCAGGTGGTCAGCGGTGCACACAGGGGCTGACCTCGTGTGACGGCCTCCTGGCTGTGGCCCTGAGGCCTGGTGGTGCAGCTTCGCTCCGTGTGGAGGCAGCACCTTCTCCTGCAGGGCTCACTTAACTCTCCCTTCCTGTGTGTGCACCTGTGCCCTTTCTCTCGCTGAATCTTGGCAGAAGCTCCCACGCCCTGTGGCTGAGAGTGCGTGAGTGGACGCCTTTGCCCCTGAGATCTGAGGGCTCGCTCCCGCTTCCCTCGGCTGGGGCGGCGCTGGCTGTGTGGCTGTCCCAGTGGCCTCTGCTGGGCTCAGCTAGGTTCATTCTAGACCCAATTATTCCCAAGGTCCATCCTGATGGGGGCGGAGTTGTTATTTTTAGAAAAGATTTGTTTCTTTATTTGAAAGCCAGAGTTACAGAGACAGAGAGAGGGAGACCAGAGAGCCTGTGGTTGGTTCACTGCCCAGATGGCTGTGATGGCCAGGGCTGGGTCAGGCTGAAGCCAAGAACCAGGAGCATCATCTGATTCTCCACATGTGTGGCAGGGACCCAGACATTTTGCCCTCCTCTTGGGTCTCCCAGCTGCATAGCAGGGAGCTGGGTTGGAAGCAGGTCATGAACTTGTGCCCATATGGGATGCTGGCATCCCAGGCAGCAGAGTTAAACACTGTGCCACAGTGCTGGCCCCTGGGTGTTGAATTATGGAGAGAGGGAGAGATCGATCATCCATCCATTGATTCACTCCACCAAAGCTACCTTGGCTGGGACTGGGCCTAAGCAAGCAGGAGCCAGGTCATCATCTGGGTCAGGCAGTGCTGAGTGATCTGAGTGTGGATCAGTGATCACTCCCAGGGTGCGGTTCCCAGGACCTGGGCTCAGGGCTATGGACCAGGGATGGCACCAGGAATCAGTGCTGAGGAGTGGCCCCGAGCTGGGGACCAGGACTGAATAAGCTGGCCTCAGCTCGCTGACCAGTTACAGGGGCAGTGACCTGGAGCTTGGGTTACTGACCAGGGCCACTGCCTGTGTTCAGGACCCAACTCAGGACCTGAAGCAGGGCTCAGCAGTAGCCCCAGGGAGCAGTGGGCAAACGCAGGGTCCAGAACTCAGGGGCGGGGAGCTGTAATCAGTGACAGGGTCAGGACAGGTGCAGGGCCCAAGAGCAGGGCTGAGTTTCCAGAACCAGGGGCCAGTGAGCAGAACCAGGAGTCAGTGCTCAGGAAAAGGGTTCATTTAACATGACCAAGGGTCAGTAACAGACCAAAGATGAGTGACCAGGACCAGGACACACTGAACAGAACCAGGCTCCGTGATCAGCCTCAGGGCCCAGTGTGCAGAACCAAGGATGAATGACCAGGACCAGTGCTCAGTACTCAGGACCACCAGGGCTCTGTGCTCAGGCCCAGGGCTCAGAAATCAGGACCAGGTTCCACAGTCTGGAGCATGGCTTAGTCAGGAGGACCAAGACCCAGTGCTCAGGACCAGAGCTTTATGATCAGGACCAGGGCCCAGTGCTCAGGACCAGGTCTGTGGCCACTCCAGGGAGCCATCCTCCTGAGCACTCCCGGGGAAGCACTAGTCTTGGACTTGAGCCTCCTGCAGGGTCAGGCCGTGTCTGGGGCACCGCGTCCAGTCCATGCTGAAGTCCCTGTGGTGGAGTGGCAGGCGTCTCCCAGGCTGCAGCCACCGTGGCTTCCCTGAGCCATCGTCCAGCAGAGCGAGAACATTCGTCTGGGAAGGGTTGAGTGCACCTGGCAGGGGGATGGGGGGTCACTGCTTCATGGAGGGCTGGGCTCTGGCATGCAGAGCTGGCTTTCCCAGGGGCTCCTGCACGCTTCCCTCCTGCAGAGACAGGGGCAGCTGAGGGTGGGCAGTGTTCTCACCGCTCTCCCCTGTTCCAGCCCGGGCTTGGCTCCCGGGAGCCTTGGTGGAATCCTCAGCTCCTGTACCCGGGGACGCTCCCACCCTGACCCAGGGCACCCATGTCCCAGTTCCTGCAGGGACCCGTGTGCCCCTCTATGGCAGCAGCAGTCACCTCTGCTTGGGCCCAGTTCCCCCCTTCCCAGGGCATCCCCACACCTGTGCCTCAGTACTGGGGTCCCTCTTTGCTGCCAGGTGGGCCCCGGATGTTTGTCATGGTCAGAGCTGTGCTGTAGAACAGGCTCAGCAGGAAGAGAGTGAGGAGGGTGACGGTGGTGGGCCACAGGTTGGCGCCGGGGGCCTCCTCCTCCAGGCTGTCCTGTGGCAGATCCAGCACCACACAGGGCAGGGGCTCCTGACAACCTGCAAGACACAGAAGGCCTGCCAGGATGTGAACGTGTGGGTGGGGCCTGGGCCCCAGGCCTTCCCTCCCATACCTCCTCAGGGGCTGGTGGTGGAATGGTGGTGTCTCTATGTGGTCTGATGGTAAGAGCAGGGCCCATAGGGTGTTGGCCCCTACAAGTGTCTTAGCGCAGCTGCAGGGCAGGAGGTGGGGCAGTGTCCTTGCTGGTCCAGGGAAGGTGTGGCTGGAGCCCAGCTGGCCTGAGCTGAGCCACGCACTCAGTGGCTCCTGCCTTAAGCCCTGCTCTTAGGCTGGCCTTGGCCGGGACCTGGGTCCAGAGAGGACCAGGCACACCTCAAGGTCTGAGTGTGGGGTCAGTTTGCGCAGGGCGTGAGCAGGGACCTTGGTGTGAGCATAGCCTCTGTTCTTCCCCAGGGAAGTGGCTGAGGGATGGCCAGTGAAGGCCAGCAGCACAGCGTCCAGCAGAGTGGACCGGACATCCCAGGTCCTGGGTCACGGATCTCTGTGTTTAATTGGAGTTGACCAGTTTGTCATTACTGGTACATCAATCAAATGTGTAATTCATCTTTCTGTCATCTAACCAATATTTGTCTATCTATCCCCTGCTTGACCCTTCTACATAGCTATTGTTCATCCTTCTGATCTTTCCATCTATTGTTTTCTATCTACTGTCCTTCCATCCATCTATCCATCCATCTATGCATCCATCCGTCCATGTTCCACTGCCTTAGGGTCACTGGCTTATCTGTCTGCTCTCCATGTTAATTCTCCCTTTCCCTCTTTCTTAGGAAGCTGCTCCTTTGGCTCAGTTCCTGGGCCCCATGGGGTGGCTGGTACACTTGTGTGGGTACCATTTCCCTGCCTGGCCTCTCATCTCTTTTGGATGCCACTCTCTGGGGAGAACAGTGGCTGTGTGTGGGGCTCTTTTTCATCTGGGCCCTGACAAGGGAGGCGGCCATAGTCAGAGCCCCTGGGAGGATCCAAGAGTAACTAGGGCAGATCAGGGGCCCAGTACTTGTTCGTCCTGGTGCCCGTGGTCTTACATTGGTTTGGGACTGTTCTGGAGCTCCTGGGGTGTGAATCAGAAGCCCAAGGCCTGAGGAGGGGCCTATGTGGGTGGTCTCTGGCCTGCCCCTATCTTCCTGTGGATTGATTAGACTTGGGCTCAGGAGGGGATTAGAGGTTAAATTCTGGGGGCCAGCTGGGAGCAGGGCCTGCCTAGGGTGGGCTATGGAACTGCTCTAAGAACTGTGCCTGGCTAGACATCAAGGAGACCCAGAGAGGAGCAGCAGGGCCCTGGGCAGCAGGGCTGGTCTGGGGAAACCGTCTGGGGCTCGGGCGGGGACGCCCCTGCCTTCCTGGAGCTGGGTCTGGGCTGTGAGCTCCCCTGCAGCTGAGGGGGACGTGTGTGAGCGTGTGTGGCCTGTGAGCACGTGTGTGTGTGCAGGCCCCAGAGAGCGTGGTGCGGGGTGGGGCCTGCTGTGTGCCCTGTGTGTGTCAGCGCTGTCCTACACTGCTGGGTGGTGTCCACCTGGGGCAGACCTCTGCCGGTCTGGGGGGCCTGTGGGTCCCCTCTTCCTGGAGGTCCCTGCACCCAGCCCCTGTTCCTCCCCCTCCCTCCCTCCCTCGTCCTCTGCACCAGGGCAATGGCTGCACCCCTGCCGCCCAGGAACTCCTGGTGGTGTCCACAGCTCTGGGTGCAACCTGAGCTGTGCCTGCACTGCCTCAGAATCCACCCCGGCTCAGCCTCCCCTCTCACTGCTCCCTCCCAGACACACTCACTCCCAGACATACCCACTCCCTACACACTCACTCCCACTGGCACATTTGCTCACACTCACGCTCACATGCACACTCATGGGAACCATGCATGATGTCCCCTTCAGGTGCCCGAGACCCCAGCTCCTAGGACCAGGGGTGTTCCCCCTCCCTGCCCTGTGGCTGCAGCCCCCGAGGAGACAGACAGGCACAATGAACCCGCAGGGCTGCTGGGGGCGAGCACGGAGTTTATTCAGGGCAGGGCCATGGGGCTCAGTAGCACACGCCTTCCACGTCTGCCACGACCACAGACACGTTGACGTGGGTGGGTTTACCCGACAGGCGGTCGATGGTCTTCTGGGTGAAGTGCTCGGCCAGGCCCTCATGGCCCACCACGCAGGTGTAGCTTTCATTCTGGTTCCAGTCCTCGGCCGGCACGCGCAGCAGGCTGGTGACGGCGTAGGTTGTGGGTTCCTGGCCGGGCTCAGGCAGGGGCTCCCACACCAGGAAGCTGTTTTCAGGGACATTCACGCCTTTGTTCGTCCAGTACACCAGCACGTCCTTGGGGCTGAAGCCCCGCACCAGGCAGGTCAGTGTCACCAGCGCGTTGAGGGCCAGCTCCTCTGATGGTGGCGGCAGCAGATGGACCTGAGGTGGTATGATGGCGCCTGGAAGCGGGAGAGTGAGGTCAGGGTGGCAGGGGAGGACTGAGCCCCACTGTCCCACACGCCGGCCTCAGTTTCCCTCTGTTCCCGGGGAGGGAGCCTTGGAGCCCAGGAGGGGAGGGAAGAGTCAGGCCAGGGTGAGGAGAGTAGCCCATTGCCTGGGGGTGGGGGCAGGCCCACCTGTGTCTTTGCTGATTTTGGCTGTCAGGGGGCCGCCCTCTATCTCAGGGTGGGTGACTGTGCAGGTGAACTCTGTCCCCGCATTCCAGGGCTCCGCACAGCCGGGCAGCACGCTGGACACACTGTAGCAGCCGCACGGGTAACTCTGGACGCTCTGCTGGACGGGTTTGTTCCCGTTTGTGGGCTCCCAGGTGAAGACGGCGCCCTCGGGGTTCTTCAGGCCTCTCAGGGTGCAGGTGAGGCTGGCGTTCGAGTTCAGGAGCAGGTCCCTGAGGTCTGGCCGCTGCAGGGACAGGCTGGGCTCCCCACAGGATGGGGAAGGGCAGGGACAGGGGCAGGTGGTTGTATCTGAAGGACCTGGAGTTGGCGGTTGGCATTCTGATGAAACAGAGAAGATGGAGTGTCAGTGCCCCTTCCTCAATCCCTGTGTAGGCTGTCCTCTGTTCCAGCTCAGTGGTCCAGCCCCACAGCCCACTCTGCAGCCTCATGCCCCCTCCCCCAGCTCTCCTCTGACCTGGGGGGCTGGGCACGGTCACATCCTGGCCCTTGTCGTAGTTGTGCTCCACATGGCAGGCCACACTATTTTCTTCAGGACACTGCTCAGCTGGTAGCCTCAGCAGGCTGCACGTGGTGTACAGGCTCGAGGTGGCAGACTGGACAGGTGGGAAGGTCAGGTTCTCCCCGCTGGTGTTCCATGTCACACTCAGAGGGCCCAGGGGGAAGAAGCCCCGGATCAGGCAGCCGATGACCACGGGCTCTCCGGGTCCAAGTATGGGGCAGGGTAGTGGGATGAGGATGGGTCTAGTGTTCACGGGATCTGCAACACAAGACTCATTGTGAGACCATCACAGTCTAGTGGCTGCAACCCCAGAGAGCCCTGGGAGCACAGGACCCCGCCTGCCTCCTCCCTGCTGGATTCTGGCCCAGAGAGGGGGATAGAGCAGGCCAGGGTCACACAGCGGCTGGGCCAGGACTGGGGCCAGAAGTGTCTATCTGTCTCCTGCTGCCCTGTGTCTCCAGGCTCCTCGGGGCTGAGCTGCTCAAGCCTGGCTGGCACGGAGCCGTCGAGGGCCCCAGGCTCCCCGGCCTCAGGGCCCCTGGGCAGTGTGCACAGGGTGGGGTGCTGAAGGGAGGAGGGGACCGGCTGGCTGGAGCAGTGAAGCAGGCTGGGCCTGGTGAAGGCCGAGGGGAGGCAGGGGTGGGGCCCAGCTCTGTGCCCAGCTTGCACTGCCCTTGCCAGGGTCCCAGACCCTCGCCCCAGCCCCACGTCTCACACTCACACCCCTCCCCCATGAGCAGCAGTCGCCAGCCCTCCTGGCCACCAGGGCTCCAATGCCAAGGAGCGCTTGTTCCTGGAGCTCTGACCACACGGCCGCCTCCTGTCCGGGACATCTCTGAGTCCTGCAGGACAGGGGTGACAGTGCCCAGAGGCACTGGCTCCACCCTAGGAGCACAGGCCCTGCCTGGCTGCACTGTATGCTCTGGGCTTGACCTCTGTCATTCCAGAAATCCCAGTACCTCAGAAAGAAGCTTAGCCTCAGACACATAATTTGTAGTTCCCAGAGAGTACAGAAGACACCGTTCATCCCAATTAATCCAATCCAGCCCAGAACAGCCCAGCTCAAGTCCAGGTTAGTCCAGCTCAGCCCAGCTCAACTCAGCCCTGCTCAGCTCAGGCCAGCCCAGGTCACGTATCCTAATCCAGCTCAGCAAGCTTAGTCTATACTAAGACCCAGCTCAGTCTATACCAGCCATGGTCAGCTCTGCACAACCCAGTCCAGCCCAGCCCAGCTCAGTCTACAGCAGCTCAGCCCAGCCTAGCCCAGGTTACTTCAGCCCAGCCCAGCTCTGCTCAGTCTACGCCAGCTCATCCCAGCCCAGCCAGACCAGCCCAGATCAGCTCAGCGCAGCCCAGGGCAGCCCAGCTTAGCCATGCCCAGATCAGCTCAGCCCAGTTCAGCACAGCCCATCAAAGCCAAGTCAGTTCTGCCCAGCCCATTCCAGCTCAGCTCAATGCAGGTCGGCTCAGCTCAGCTCAGCCCAGCTCAGCCCATACAGGCCAAGGTCAGCTCTGCCCAGTCCAGGCTGGTCCAGCCCAGGTCAGCTCAGTCTACACCAGCTCAGCTCTGTTCAGCCCAGATCAGGTCAGTTCAGCCCAGTTCTGCCCAGTTCAATCCAGCTCAGCCCTAGTCAGCTCAGTCCAGCTCAGCTCAGCTCTGCCCAGTTCAATCCAGCCAGGCCTAGCCCAGCCCAGCCCAGCTTAGCTCGGTCCAGCCCAGGTCAGCTTGGCGCATCCCAGCCCAACATGAAAACCCAGGTCAGCTCAGCACAGTTCAGCTCAGCCCAGCCCAGCTGAGCCCAGGTCAGCCCAGCTCAGCTCAACCTAGCTCAGTTGTGCTCAGACCAGCTCTGCCCAGCTCTGTCCAGCTCTGCCCAGGTCAGCCCAGCTCAACTCAGACCAGCCCAGCTCTGCCAAGCTCTGTCCAGCTTAGTCAGCTCAGCTTAGCCCAGTTTAGCCTAATCCATCCCAGCTCTTTCCAGTTCATGCCAGGCCAACTCAGCTCAACCCAGCCCAGCTCAGCTCAGCTCAGCTCAGCTCAGCTCTGACCAGCTCAACACAGCCCAATCCAGCCCAGCTCTGCCCAGCTGAGCTCTGCCCTGCTCATCCCAGCTAACAATTCGGCTAAGCCCAACTCAGCTCAGCCCAGCTCAGCCCAGCTCAGCACAACTCAGCTAGCCCAGCCCAGCTCTGTCCAGGTCAGCTCTGTCCAAATCAGCTTAGCACACTCTGCCTGGTTCAAGCCAGCCCATTCCAGTCCAGGATAGCCCAGCCAGCTCAGCCCAGCCAGCTCAGCCCAGCTCGGCTCAGCTCAGCTTAGCCCAGCTCAGCCCAGCACATCCCAGCTCAGCCCAGCCCAGCTCACAGCCCAATCCATCCCAGCCCAGCTCAGTCCATCAAAGACAAGGTCAGCTCAGCCCAGCCCAGCTCACCTCAGTCCAGGTCATCTCTGCCCAGCTCAGTTCAGCTCAATTCAGACCAACACAGCCAGCTCAGCCCATCCAAGCCAAAGTCAGCTCAGTCTACTTCAGACCAGGCAGCTTAGCCCTGCTTAGCTCAGCTCAGCAAGGCCACCCCAGCCCATTTATTGCAGTCCAGTTTGGCCGTGCTCAAACCAGTCCAGCTCAGCCCGACCCTACCCTTTTATTCCAGCCCAGCCCAGTCAGCAGGGGGTGGGCGTCCATCAGGTTCCCACGTCCTCCTCTGCTTGTCTCTGTCCCAGCACAGCCCACGTCTAGATCAGCCTGCAGGGCTCTTGGCACTGCCTCCCAGGGGCTCAACCCATCCTACTAGATGGGCTCTGCCAGGCTCAGTCCCCTGAGCCCTGCTTCTCCTGGCCAGTGGCTGTATCCTGCCTGTGGTCGCTGGGCTCCTGGCCGTGGTCCTCCTCTCCCTGCTCTCTGTGCTGATGCCTGTTCTCCCTCTGCCCCCAGAAGCCTCAGGACCAGCCTGGCTGCGACTGCCCCTGTGCAGAGGGGCAGAGTCCCGTGGACCCACCTGTCTGGGCTGCTGGAGGAGCACCGTGGAGGGTCAGGTCTCCCTGGCCAGGCTGCCCTGCACTGCGGGTCCACGCCTGGGCCAGAGCTCCCCATCTGCACCCTCTCTGCTGGCCCAGAGGGGCTGAGTGGAGTGGGAGCCAGGCCTGGTCCGGGCCCTCCTGGAGAGCTGTGCACCTGCTCTGGCTCTTTGTCCATGGCTGGGCTGGGGCTGGCTGTTGAGTGTGACTGGTGAGGGTTGCGTGACTGTGGGTCTGGCCCCATGTTGGGGTCACTCAGCTGCCCACTTCCTGTCCCAGCAGACAGTGTAGCTCGTCTCCACGTCATGTCTGGTCTGTGGTCTGTCTGTGGTGGGGACAGGTGTGTGTGGCCTGGGTCCTGTGACCCCAGGGACCATGGTGGGACCAGGGCTCCACATGGCGGGCCACAGGATAGGGCTGGGGGCTGAGATGCAGGGAAGGAGAGGCCCAAATGGACACAGAGGCTCAGAGACACTGGGACAGGGATGGAGACGGACAGCAGGGAGTGCTAGCCCAGGCCGCGAGAAGGCCACGTTCATGGGAGGGCTAGGGCTCAGGGAACAGAGCTGCCTTTGGGGCCATAGGGTTGGTGTCAGGATGGGGACAGCCATTGTGCCGTGGGCCTGGCACCCCTGCAGCTGTCCAGACCCAAGGACAGCGGGGGGCCCTGACTGAAGCCCCCTGTAGTTTCAGCTCTGCTTTCTCCCACTCAGGGGCTCTAGCATGTGGCAGGCAGAGGGCGATGCTCTTCCTGGCCCTGGCTCCCTGCATCCACCCCAGTCCCCCACCCCATCTCTCTCCAGGCTGCCCTGTCTTAGTTGCTGTCCCGTCAGTGTTGCTGGCCCATGTCTTCTCTCCTTAGGGTTCCGTAGCCACACTCAGGTACCTGCCTGTCCTCACACAGGGAGGGCCGGGGCGGGCAGGGAGCTAGGAGTGGCAGGTGAGCTGGTAGGGTCTGCACACACCTGCCCAGCTCCACAGGGCCTGGGTTGGCTGGGCTGGGGCCTGGGGGCTTCCCAGAGGTGGGCCCGGCAGTGTCTTGTGAAGTAGGGTGACCTGAAGCCCCCTGGCCACAGAGGCAGCACAGCGAGCCTGGGAGGTGCAGGGGCCAGGTCAGCAGGCTAGGTTGTGGTGTGGCCCCTGGTCCCGGCAGATGTGCCCTGGCCTGGCCACAGGGAGCTCGGCAGGTGTTGTGACGGCCGCACTCTCAGTGCGGGGACCTCGTGGCCGTGCGTCTTAGGCATTGCTGACGGCTGCAGCAAACACAGTGTAGACGGGCAGGCTTCAGAGAAGGCACTGATTTCTCCCAGTGCTGCAGGCTGGAGCCAGCGTCAGGGCGGGGTCTTCTCCCAGTGTCCACACCTTGGGTGGGGGGAGAGGGAGGAAGCCAGAGGAGGAAGAGAGAGAGGGAGAGAGAGGGAGAGAGAGAGAGAGAGAGGGAGAGAGAGAGAGGGAGAGAGGGAGAGCGAGCTCACCTGGGTGTCCTCATCTGCACAGAGGGCGATCACTGCAGGTGCCGTCCCCTGGCAGGGAGAGGAGCCAGGTCACGCTGGGTGCTTTTCCTAAGGCAGGGATCCCACTGTGGGCTGCACCCTGGTGACCCCCGACAGCGCCCGGTGGGATCAGGGTTTGCCGAGTGACACAGTTGGGCCATCCTCCACAGGGAACAGCTCCCTGGCGGCCAGCTCTGCCACTGGAGCACACGCGCTGGACCTGGGGGGGGGACAGGGGCTCTCCCACAACTGCTGGCCTTGTTTGTTTTTGTCTGTCCTCACGGGAGGGCGGCAGAGAGGGAGGAAGAGAGAGAGGAAGATCTTCCACCTGCTGGTTGGCTCCCCGAGGCCCACAAGAGCCGGGACTGGGCAGGCGGAAGCCAGGAGCCTGGGTCTGGCTTGTGGGTGGCAGGGCCCAGGAGTGGAGTGGTCACTGCTGCCTCCCAGGTGCAGGTCAGCAGGAAGCTGGAATTGGAGGCGGAGCCAGGCCGTGACCCCAGGTGCTCCCATGTGGGCTGTGGGTGTCCCGAGGCAGCTTCACCTGCTGTGCTGCACACCTGCCCCCAGCCTGGGCTGTGCCATGACCCAGGACACAGGGCGGGGAGTGGTCTGGGGCAGCTGCAGTCGAGGCTGGACACTGGTCCCTGGGCCTCGTCTGGTGGCCTTGTGTCTGGGACCAAAGCAGGCCAGTGTAGAACAAAGACAGTCTCATCTGCTCGGGGTTTGTCTGGGCCGTGACCCCAGAGACGTGGACCCTCCTCCTGTGGGGAGGCTCAATGCTAACTCCTCACAGCCTGGGTCTCAGCTGCAGAGGCTGCACTTCATGGACACCTTTGCCCGAGACCCTCCTCCAGGCTTCCAGACCCCAGTGAGTGGCTGGGGCGGGGAGAGTGGTCCCCTTGGATTGGCTCTGCACTCCGTGGGTGTCCGTGGAGTTAGGGGCTGGGCTATGACGGTGTCGCTGGGTCCTCAGAAGCAGTGGGCGTCCTGAGCTCATCCCTGTGTGTGGAGGACGGGGTCCATGGGCGGGAGGAGCCCTCAGGAGGCAGCCTCCCTGGGAAGCAGTGGGCCGGCCTCCTGCAGCTGTGGTGGGGGAAGGGCCCCGGGCAGATGGTAGGGCTAGAGGCGGGTACTGCTGGCCTTGCTCGGCCCCATGTCCTCGGGTTGGACCGGGGCAGGGCTCAGTCCCTGGCTGCCAGGTGGGACCCTGAGGCAGGGATGTCCTTTGTTGTCTCCTTGGGGCCATTGCTGTCACTGGGCCCCTGTCCTGGGGGTCTTAGCACTGCCTGCCCATTTCAGTGGGAGGGAGTAGGGAGAGAGTCTGATGGGGTCGGCAGAGATTTTTCCAGATCAACTCTATTTAGTGGACTCCCTCAAGGTCACACTTCCATCAGAGTGGTGTAGTTTGAGGGTGTCTGTGCTGCTGCCCTTCCCCTACTGGTTGCAGCTCTGGGGCCCACGGGGTCCCGGGACCCCTGACCCGCAGCCCACAGCGGTGTCCCTGTGAGATCCCTCCAGGAGCCTCAATCAGGAGCTCTGAGCAGAGCGGGGCTTTGGCTGCAGGCCCTGGTGGGGGGGTGGGGCTGTGCTCGCTCAGCAGGGGTGCGTCTCCCTCGCTCCAGAACAGCTTTTGTTTTCTTGTTAAAGATTTATTTATTTGAAGGCAGAATTACAGAGAAGGAGAGAGATCCTGTGTGTGCTGGTTCCCTCCCAGAGGGCTGCAAAGGCTGGGGCGGGGCCAGGCTGTGCCCTTCATCAGCCCTGACATGGGCAGGGGGACGCTGAGGTGCGGTGGCAGGTGCTAGCCCGGGTCCCTGTGGGTCTGCTGTGCTGTGGGTCAGTGCCCCCGGGAGACGGCCTGGCTGAGACGGCCTGACCTGGTGGAAGGCAGCGGGGCCTGGGCTGACCCTGCCGGAAGGCAGGCTGGTCCCGGCTAACCTGAGCTCTTGGCCTTCCTGAAGCCTGGCTGGGACTGGTGGGTGGCGTCCATGAGACCCTGGCCTGAGGAGTGCGAGGGCCCCACAGTCCCCATGGGGCTGTCCGACCTTGCCCAGGCCTCGGGGCAATCTGGCCAGGCCTCCGTGGAGGGCCTGAGGACAGGGGTCTCAGTGGGGACACCTGGGCTGTGCCTGGGATGACTCAGCCGGCCCAGGGCTATTTCAGGGGTTTCAGCAGGTGCACGGGCACAGGAAGCTTCTGAAGAAGGAGCAACACAGGGGAAAACAACACGACCGCCCGTCCTCCTCGGTCCCACCTGCGCTGCACCCCTGACCCGGGGACCGCATGCACTGAGTCCACCTCAGGCAGCCCGGGGCCTGGGCTTGTCCCCTCTCCACCCCTGCAACCCCTCAGGGTCTGAGAGGACGGAGTGAGGATGAGGAGTGCGGCCGTGACTGCACCTGCAAGCGGTGCCCGCTGGGGCCTCCCTGAGGGCTGCGGCCTTCCTGCAGGTCACGTTCTAGAGCGGTCAGCACTCAGGGCTCAGGATGTGTGCAAAGTCAGAGCCTTAGAGGATGCAGCTCAGGAGGAGTCCTGGTGTGTGCGATGGGGCCAGGCCCAGGCTCAGGACTAGGGCTCAGAGATCAGGATCGGGGGCCAGTGAGCAGGACCAGGGATCAGTGACCAGGTCCAGGGCTCAGTGACGAGGACAACAGCTCAGTGACGAGGACAAGGGCCCAGTGCTCAGGACCAGTTCTATGGCCTCTCCACGGAGGTGTCCTCCTGAGCCCAGGTGAAGCACTGGTCTTGGACTTGAGCCTCCTGCAGGGCCAGGCTTGTCTGGGTCACCGCGTCGAGAACCAGGACCCAGTGAGGAGAACCAGGTGTCAGTGCTTAGGAAAAGGGTTCAGTGAACATGACCGAGGGTCAGTACCAGACCAAATATGAGTACACGAACAGGACACAGTGAGCAAGACCAGGGCTCAGTAACCTGAAACAGGGTCAGTCACCAGGACCAAGGCTCAGTGCTCAAGACCAGGTCCATGGGCACTCCAGGGAGGCGTCCTCCTGAGCCCAGGAGAAGCACTGGTCTTGGACTTGAGCCTACTGCAGGGCCAGGCCGTGTCTGGGTCACCGCGTCCAGTCCATGCTGAAGTCCCTGTGTTGGAGTGGCAGGCGTCTCCCAGGCTGCAGCCACCGTGGCTTCCCTGAGCCATCGTCCAGCAGAGCGAGAACATTCGTCTGGGAAGGGTTGAGTGCACCTGGCAGGGGAATGGGGGGTCACTGCTTCACGGAGGGCTGGGCTCTGGCATGCAGAGCTGGCTTTCCCAGGGGCTCCTGCACGCTTCCCTCCTGCAGAGACAGGGGCAGCTGAGGGTGGGCAGTGTTCTCACCGCTCTCCCCTGTTCCAGCCCGGGCTTGGCTCCCGGGAGCCTTGGTGGAATCCTCAGCTCCTGTACCCGGGGACGCTCCCACCCTGACCCAGGGCACCCATGTCCCAGTTCCTGCAGGGACCCGTGTGCCCCTCTATGGCAGCAGCAGTCACCTCTGCTTGGGCCCGGTTCCCCCTCCCCAGGGCATCCCCACACCTGTGCCTCAGTACTGGGGTCCCTCTTTGCTGCCAGGTGGGCCCCGGATGTTTGTCATGGTCAGAGCTGTGCTGTAGAACAGGCTCAGCAGGAAGAGAGTGAGGAGGGTGACGGTGGTGGGCCACAGGTTGGCGCCGGGGGCCTCCTCCTCCAGGCTGTCCTGTGGCAGATCCAGCACCACACAGGGCAGGGGCTCCTGACAACCTGCAAGACACAGAAGGCCTGCCAGGACGTGAATGTGTGCGTGGGGCCTGGGCCCCAGGCCTTCCCTCGCACGCCTTCTCAGGGGCTGGGGGCAGAGTGGTGGGTCTCCTATGGGGACTGAGGGCGAGAGCAGGGCCCATAGGGTGTTGGCCCCTGCAAGTGTCTTAGGGCAGCTGCAGGACAGGAGGCGGGACAGTGTCCTTTCTGGTCCAGGGAAGGTGTGGCCGGGGCCCTGCTGGCCTGAGCTGAGCCACGTACTCAGTGGCTCCTGCCTAAGCCCTGCTCTTGGGCTGGCCTTGGCCGGGACCTGGGTCCAGAGAGGACCAGGCACACCTCAAGGTCTGAGTGTGGGTCATTGTGCCCAGGGCATGAGCAGGGACCATGGTGTGAGCAGAGCCTCTGTTCTTCCCCAGGGAAGTGGCTGAGGGATCGCCAGCGAAGGCCAGCAGCGAGCAGCCAGCAGAGTGGACCAGACGTCCTAGGTCCTGGGTGATGGATCTGTGTTAATTTGGAGTTGAATCTGTTTGTCCTCTACTTGTATAGCAGTCATATCTATAACTCATCTATAAATAATCTATCAATTATTTATCCATCCATGACTTGACTCCTCTATATAGCTATAATCCATCCATCCATCCACTGATCCATCCATCTACTTGTGCATCAGTCATCCATCCAGCCATCTGTCCGTGTTCCACTACATCTTTGGGTCTTGGGTATATCTGTCTGCTCTCCATGATGATTCTCCCCCTTTCCCTCTTTCTTAGCAAGCTGCTTATTTGGCTCAGTTCCTGGTCCCATGGGGTGGCTGGGGTACTTGTGTGGGTACCATTTCCCCACCTGGCCTGTTCCTCTCCCTGTAACTCTTTTGGATGCCACCCTCTGGGGAGAGAAGTGGCTGTGTGTGGGATCCTCTTCACCTGGGCACTGACAAGGGAGGTGGCCAGAGCCAGAGTCCCTGGGAGGCCCCAAGGGTGTCTGAGGCAGGAGCAGAGGCCCCGTGCCCTGGGAGTCCTGGTGCCTAGTTTCCTACACTGGTCTGGAACTGTTCAGGGGCTCCTGGGGTGTGAATCAGAAGCCCAAGCTCTGAGGAGGGGCCTGTGTCGGTGGTCTCTGCTCAGCCCCTCTCTGCCTGTGGTTTGGCTCAGACTGGAGCTCAAGAGAGTATTGGAGGGTTGAGTCTGGGACCCAGCAATGAGCAGGGCCTGCCTAGTTTGGGCTGTGCAAATGATCCTTGAGCTGTGTATTCCTGGACGTTCAGGGAGGCCCAGAGAGGGCCAGCAGGGCCCTGGGCAGCAGGGCTGGGCCTAGGAAAACCATCTGGGGCTTGGCTGGGGACTCCCCTTGCTTTCCTGGAGCTGGGTCTGGGCTGTGAGCTCTCCTGCAGCTGAGGGGGACGTGTGTGAGCGTGTGTGCCCTGTGAGCATGTGTGCTGTGTGCAGGCCCCAGAGAGCGTGGTGCAGGGTGGGGCCTGCTGTGTGCCCTGTGTGTGTCAGTGCTGTCCTGCACTGCTGGGTGTTTTCTGCCTGTGGCTGACCTCTGAAAGGCTGGGGGTCTGCTGGGCACCCTCTTCCCAGGGGTCCCTGCACCCAGCCGCTGTTCCTCCCCCTCCCTCCCTCGTCCTCTGCACCAGGGCAATGGCTGCACCCCTGCCGCCCAGGAACTCCTGGTGGTGTCCACGGCTCTGGGTGCGACCTGAGCTGTGCCTGCACTGCCTCAGAATCCACCCCGGCTCAGCCTCCCCTCTCACTGCTCCCTCCCAGACACACTCACTCCCAGACACACTCACTCCCAGACCTACTCACTCCCTCAGGCACCTTTGCAAACACTCATGCTCTCATGCACACTCACGGGCACCATGCATGATGTCCCCTCCAGGTGCCCGAGGTCCCAACACCTAGGACCAGGGGCGCTCCACCTCCCCGCCATGTGGCTGCAGCCCCCGAGGAGACAGACAGGCACAATGAACCCGCAGGGCTGCTGGGGGCGAGCACGGAGTTTATTCAGGGCAGGCCAGGGTCTCAGTAGCACACGCCTTCCACGTCTGCCACGACCACAGACACGTTGACGTGGGTGGGTTTACCCGCCAGGCGGTCGATGGTCTTCTGGGTGAAGTGCTCGGCCAGGCCCTCATGGCCTACCACGCAGGTGTAGCTTTCATTCTGGTTCCAGTCCTCGGCCGGCACGCGCAGCAGGCTGGTGACAGCGTAGGTTGTGGGTTCCTGGCCGGGCTCAGGCAGGGGCTTCCACACCAGGAAGCTGTCTTTGGGGACCTCCACGCCTTTGTTCGTCCAGTACACCAGCACATCCTTGGGGCTGAAGCCCCGCACCAGGCAGGTCAGCGTCACCAGCGCGTTCAGGGCTAGTTCGTCTGACGGCGGTGGCAGCAGGTGGACCTGGGGCGCGATGACGACACCTGAAAGGGGCAAAGTGGGGTCAGGGCGGCAGGAGAGGACTGAGCCCCACTGTCCTGCACGCCGGCCTCAGTTTCCCTCTGTGAGCCGGGGAGTGTACCTCAGAGCCCAGGATGGGAGGGAGGAGTCAGGCTGGGGGTGAGGAGAGTAGCCCATTGCCCGGGGGTGGGAGCAGGCCCACCTGTGTCTTTGCTGATTATGTCTGTTAGGGAGACGCCCTTTATCTCAGGGTGGGTGACTGTGCAGTTGAACTTTGTCCCTGCATTCCAGGCCGCCGCACAGCCGGGCAGCACGCTGGACACACTGTAGCAGCCGCAGTGGTCAAGCTTGGGACTCAGCTGGACGGGTTCCTTCCCAAATGTGGGCTCCCAGGTGAAGACGGCGCCCTCGGGGTCCAACAGGCCTCTCAGGGTGCAGGTGAGGCTGGCGTTCGAGTTCAGGAGCAGGTCCCCGAGGTCTGGCCGCTGCAGGGACAGGCTGGGCTCCCCACAGGAGGGGGAGGGGCAGGGGCAGGGGCAGGTGGTTGGAGTTGTAGGACTAGGAGTTGGCGGTTGGCATTCTGATGAAACAGAGAAGATGGAGTGTCAGTGCCCTTCCTTCATCCCTGTGTAGGCTGTCCTCTGTTCCAGCTCAGTGGTCCAGCCCCGCAGCCCACATGCAGCCTCAGGGCCCCCCCAGCCGCCTCTGACCTGGGTAGAGCACAGTCAGATTCTGGCCCTTGTCATAGTTGTGCTCCACGTGGCAGACCACATTGTCATCCTCAGGACACTGCTCCGGTGTTAGGCTCAGCAGGCTGCACGTGGTGTACGGGCCTGAAGTGCCAGACGGGACGGGTGGGAAGGTCACGTTCTTCCCGCTGGCGTTCCAGCTCACACTCAGAGGGCCCAGGGGGAAGAAGCCCCGGATCAGGCAGCCGGCGATCACGGTCGCTGAAGTGTCTTTTAATGCACATCTAGGGTGGATCAGTGGGAAGAGCCTGGGAGAGGCCGCAGTCGCTGCAACACAGGACACACTGTGAGACCGTGGCAGTCACGACACTGTCACCCCAGAGTGCCCTGGGAGCACAGGGCCCCGCCTGCCTCATCTCGCCAGAAGCTGGTCTAGAGAGGGGAGGAGACCAGCCCAGGGTCACACAGCGGCTGGGCCAGGACCAGGGCCTGAAGTGTCCAGCTGGCTCCTGCTGCCCTGTGGCTCCCAGGCTCCTCTAGACTGTGCTTGGCTGGCACTGAGCCATCGCAGGCCCCAGGCTCTCAGGGCCTTAGGCTTCTCTGCGCAGTGTGCACAGGTTGGGGTGCTGAAGGGTGGGTGTAGAGGAAGGGCCTGGCCAGGCCGGAGGAGCCTGGGCTTGGTGAGGGCTGTGGGGAGCCAGGGGGTCCACCCAGCTCTGTGCCCACCTTGCACTTTCTTTGTCAGGGTCCCAGACCCTCGCCCTGGCCCCACAGTTCCCACACTCACACCCCTCCCTCCATGAGCAGCAGTCGACAGCCCTCCTGGCCACCAGGACTCCAATGCCAAGGAGCGCTTGTTCCTGGAGCTCTGACCACACGGCCGCCTCCTGCCCAGGACATCTCTGAGTCCTGCAGGACAGAGGTGACTGACAGCACCCAGAGGCACAGGCTCCGCCCTAGGAACACAGGCCTTGTTTGGCTGCACTGTGTGCTCTGGGCTTGACCACTGTCACTCCAGAAACCTCGAACCTCAGCAAGTAGCTCAGCCTCAGATACATACTTGGCAGTTCCCAGAGAGTCCAGAAGACACTGTTCACATCAACCAGTCCGGCCCAGCTCAAGTCCAGCTTAGTCCAGCTTAGTCCAGCACAGCCCAGCTCAGCCCAGCTCAGCTCAGCCCAGGTCAGCCCAGCCCAAGTCACGTCACCTTAGCACAGCTCAGCAAGCTAAGTTTGGCCCAGCTTAGTCCATACAAGGCAAGGTCAGCTCTGCTCAGCCCAGTCCAGCCCAGCTAAGCTTGGTCTATACCAGCTCAGCCCCGTGTAGCCCAGGTCACTTCAGCCCAGCCCAGGTCGGCTCTGCTCAGCCCAGTCCAGCCCACCACAGCACAGCCCAGTCCCGCCCAGTCCAGCCTAAGTCAGCTCAGCTCAGCTCAGCCCATCAAAGTCAACCTCAGATCCACCCAGCCCATACCAGCCCAGCTCAGTGCAGGCTTGCTTAGCTTGCTCAGCTCAGCCCAGCTCAGCCCAGCTCAGCCCAGCATAACTCAGCTCAGGTCAGCCCAGGTCAGCCCAGGACAACTCAGTCCAGTCCAGCTCAGCTCAGCCCAGCCAAGCCCAGCACAGCCCAGCCCAGCTCAGCTTAACCCAGCCCAGCCCAGTTCAGCTCAGCTCAGCTCAGCCCAGCACAGCTCAGCCCAGCCCAGCCCAGCTCAAAACAGCCCAGCCCAGCTCAGCCCAGCCCAGCTCAGCTCTGCTCAGCCCAGCTCAGATCAGCCCAGCTCAGCCCAGCCGGTTAAGTTCAGCCCAGCCCAGCCCAGCTCAGCCCAGCTAAGTTCAGCTCAGCCCTGCTCAGCTCAGCCCAGCTCAGCCCAGCCCAGCCCTTCCCAGCTCAGCTCAGGTCAGCCCAGGTCAGCCCAGCCTAGCCCAGCCCAGCTCAGCCCTGCTCAGCCCAGCTCTGCCCAGCCCAGCCGAGCTCAGCTCAGCTCAGCCCTGGTCAGCCCGGTTCAGCCCAGCTCAGCCCAGCCTAACCCAGCCCAGCCCAGCTCAACCCAGCCCAGCTGAGCCCAGCCTAGCCCAGCCCAGCCCAGCCCAGCCCAGCCCAGCCCAGCCCAGCTCAACCCAGCCCAGCTCAGCTCAGGTCAGCCCAGCCCTGCCCTGACTAGCACAGCTCAGCCAAGCCAAACCCAGCCAAGCCCAACCCAGCCCAGCCCAGCTCAGCCCAGCCCAGCCCAGCCCAGCACAACTCAGCTCAGGTCAGCCCAGCCCAGCTCAGCCCAGCCCAGCCCAGCTCAGCCCAGCTCAACCCAGCCCAGCTCTGCCCAGCTCAGCCCAGCTCAGCCCAGGCCAGCTCAGCACAGGTCAGCTCAGCCCAGCTCTGCCCAGCTGAGCCCAGCATAGCCCAGCTCAGCGCAGCTCAACCCATCAAGCCAAGGTCAGCTAAGCCCAGCTCAGCTCAGCTCAGCCCAGCCCAGCTCAGCACAGGTCAGCCCAGCCCAGCTCTGCCCAGCTGAGCCCAGCCTAGCCCAGCTCAGCCCAGCTCAACCCAGCCCAGCTCAGGTCAGCCCAGCCCAGCTCAGCCAAGCTCAGCTCAGCCCTGCAAAGCACAGCTCCTTTCAGCCCAGCTCAGCCCATCAAAGCCAAGGTCAGCTCAGCCCAGGATAGCCCAGTCCAGCTCTGCTCATCCCAGCTCAGTTCAGCTCAGCTCAGCCTAGCTCAGCCCAGCCCAGCTCAGCCTGGTTCAGCCCAGCTCAGCCCAGCTCAGCCCAGCTCAGCCCAGCCAAGCCCAGCCCAGTCCAGCCCAATTGACCCAGCTCTGCCCAGCCGAGCTCAGCCAGCTCAACCCAGCTCAGCTCTGCCCAGTTGAGCCCAGCCCAGCTCAGCCCAGCTCAGCTCAGCCCAGCTCACCTCAGCACAGGTCAGCTCAGCCTAGCTCAGCCCATCAAAGCCAAGGTCAGCTCAGCCCAGGTCAGCCCAGCCCAGGTCAGCTCAGCCCATCAAAGCCAAGGTCAGCTCAGCCCAGGTCAGCCTGGTTCAGCCCAGCTCAGCCCAGCTCAGCCCAGCTCAGCCCAGCCCAGCTCAGCTCAGCCAAGCTCAGCCCAGCTCAGCCCAGCCCAGCCTAGCTCAGCCCAGCCCAGCTCAGCCCAGCTCAGCTCAGTCCAGCCCAGCTCAGCCCAGCTCAGCCCAGCCCAGCTATGCCCAGCTCAGCCCAGCTCAGCTCAGCACAGCTCAGCCCAGCTCAGCTCAGCTCTGCCCAGCCCAGCTCAGCCCAGCTCAGCCTGGTTCAGCCCAGCTCAGCCCAGCCCAGCTCAGCCCAGCTCAGCCGAGCCCAGCCCAGACCAGCCCAGCTCAGACCAGCTCAGCTCAGCCCAGCTTAGGCCAGCTCAGCCCAGCTCAGCTCAGCTCTGCCCAGCCCAGCTCAGCTCAGCTCTGCCCAGCCCAGCTCAGCTCAGTCCAGCCCAGCCATGCCCAGCTCAGCCCAGCCCAGCTCAGCCCAGCTCAGCCCAGCTCAGCTCAGCACAGCTCAGCTCAGCCCATCAAAGCCCAGCTCAGCCCAGCCCAGCTCAGCTCAGCCCAGCTCAGCTCAGCTCAGCCCAGCTCAGCTCAGCCCAGCTCAGCCCATCAAAGCCCAGCCCAGCTCAGCCTGGTTCAGCCCAGCTCAGCCCAGCCCAGCTCAGCCCAGCTCAGCCGAGCCCAGCCCAGACCAGCCCAGCTCAGACCAGCTCAGCTCAGCCCAGCTTAGCCCAGCCCAGCTCAGCTCAGCCCAGCTCAGCCCAGCTCAGCCTGGTTCAGCCTAGCTCAGCCCAGCCCAGCCCAGCTCAGCCCAGCTCAGCCGAGCCCAGCCCAGACCAGCCCAGCTCAGACCAGCTCACACCAGTCCAGCTCAGCCCAGCCCAGGTCAGCCCAGCCCAGCTCAGCTCAGCTCTGCCCAGCCCAGCTCAGCTCAGTCCAGCCCAGCCATGCCCAGCTCAGCCCAGCCCAGCTCAGCCCAGCTCAGCCCAGCTCAGCTCAGCACAGCTCAGCTCAGCCCATCAAAGCCCAGCTCAGCCCAGCCCAGCTCAGCTCAGCCCAGCTCAGCTCAGCTCAGCCCAGCTCAGCTCAGCCCAGCTCAGCCCATCAAAGCCCAGCCCAGCTCAGCCTGGTTCAGCCCAGCTCAGCCCAGCCCAGCTCAGCCCAGCTCAGCCGAGCCCAGCCCAGACCAGCCCAGCTCAGACCAGCTCACACCAGTCCAGCTCAGCCCAGCCCAGGTCAGCCCAGCCCAGCTCAGCCCAGGTCAGCCCAGCTCAGCCCAGCTCAGCTTGGCCCTGCCTAGCATAGCCAAGGTCACCTAGCCCAGGTCAGCCCAGGCCAGCTCAGCTCAGCTCAGCCCATCAAAGCCCAGCTCAGCTCAGCCCTGGTCAGTCCGGTTCAGCCCAGCTCAGCCAAGCCTAACCCAGCTCAGCCCAGCTCAACCCAGCCCAGCTCTGCCCAGCTGAGCCCAGCCTAGCTCAGCCTAGCCCAGCCCAGCCCAGCCCAGCTCAACCCAGCCCAGCTCTGCCCATTTGAGCCCAGCCTAACCCAGCCCAGCCCAGCCCAGCCCAGCTCAACCCAGCCCAGATCAGCTCAGGTCAGCCCAGCCCTGCCCTGCCTAGCACAGCTCAGCCAAGCCCAACCCAGCCCAGCCCAACCCAGCCCAGCCCAGCTCAGCCCAGCCCAGCCCAGCTAAGCCCACCTCAGCTCAGCTCAGCCCAGCACAGCCCAGCCCAGCCCAGCCCAGCTCAGCCCTGCTCAGCCCAGGCCAGGTCAGCCCAGCTCAGGTCAGCCCAGCCCAGCTCTGCCCAGCTTAGCTCACCCCATCTCAGTCCATCAAGCCAAGGTCAGCTCAGCCCAGCCCAGCTCAGCACAGGTCAGCCCAGCCCAGACAGCCCAGCTGAGCCCAGCCTAGCCCAGCTCAGCCCAGCTCAACCCAGCCCAGCTCAGCTCAGCTCAGGTCAGCCCAGCCCAGCTCTGCCCAGCTTAGCTCACCCCATCTCAGTCCATCAAGCCAAGGTCAGCTGAGCCCAGCCCAGCTCAGCCCAGCTCAGCCCAGCTCAGCCCAGCTCAGCCCATCAAAACCAAGGTCAGCTCAGCCCAGGTCAGCCTGGTTCAGCCCAGCTCAGCCCAGCTCAGCCCAGCCCAGCTCAGCTCAGCCCAGCTCAGCCCAGCTCAGCCCAGCTCAGCTCAGCCCAGCTCAGCCCAGCTCAGCTCAGCCCAGCCCAGCTCAGCTCAGCCCAGCTCAGCCCAGCTCAGCCCAGCTCAGCCCAGCCCAGCCCAGCTCAGCCCAGCTCAGCCCAGCTCAGCCCAGCTCAGCTCAGCTCAGCCCAGCTCAGCCTGGTTCAGCCCAGTTCAGCCCAGCTCAGCCTGGTTCAGCCCAGCTCAGCCCAGCTCAGCCTGGTTCAGCCCAGCTCAGCCCAGCTCAGCTCAGCCCAGCTCAGCCGAGCCCAGCTCAGCCCAGCCCAGCTCAGCCCAGCTCAGCTCAGCCCAGCTTAGCCCAGCTCAGCCCAGCTCAGCTCAGCCCAGCTCAGCCCAGCTCAGCTTGGCCCAGCCTAGCATAGCCAAGGTCACCTAGCCCAGGTCAGCCCAGCTCAGCTAAGCTCAGCTCAGCCCATCAAAGCCCAGCTCAGCTCAGCCCTGATCAGCCTGGTTCAGCCCAGCTCAGCCCAGCCCATGTCGGCCTGGCCCAGCTCAGCCCAGGTCAGCCCAGCCCAGTTCAGCTCAGCCCAGCTCAGCCCAGCTCAGCCCAGCTCAGCCTAGCTCAGTCCAGCCCAAACCCAGCCCAGGTTAGCACTGGTCACCTCCACCCAGATCGGCTCATTTCAGTCCAGCTCAACTTTGCCCCGCTCAGCCCATCCAAGTCAAAGTAGCTCATGCCTCTACAGCCAAGGTCAGCTTAGCCCTTCTTAACTCAGCTCAGCCCAGCCCAGCCTAGCCCAGCCAGGCCCAGCCCAGCTCAGTCCATCAAAGCCAAGGTCAGCTCAGCCCAGCCTACCCCAGCCAAGGTCAGCACAGGTCACCTTCACCCAGCTCAGCCCAGCTCAGCCCAGCCCAACCCAGCCCATTATTGCAGTGCAGTTTGGCTGTGCTCAAATCAGTGCAGCTCAGCTCAGCCCAGCACAGCCCAGATCGACCCAGCTCAGCTCTGCCTAGCTCTGCCCATATCGGCCTAGCTCGGCCCATCTCGGCCCAGCTC